GGGGGGGGGGGGGGGGGGGGGGGGGGGGAGAGGAGAATGCTCTGAACTGAACCAGCACTCGTGTAAGTGCAAGTGCCCCAACGGCAGGCTGTCCCACAAGGTCCACCTGATGGCACTGCCCGGTTCCCCACAGATAGAAGGTTTCCTAGACGATCCTGGGGCTTGGCCCGGTCGCTACGGTGAATCCCAGTCCCAAGGTGGTTAGTGCCTTATATGTCGGAAGGAGACTGGGGTCCTACCTGGGAGCAAGCCGGCAGCTGGTAGGGTTGCTACAAGATGGGGGTAGCCTTCTGCCCAGCGAGGTGCCCCTCAGAGGCCCGATCCCCACGGGCTGCCTCCAGGTGAGGAGCAGGAGAGGCCCAGCCGATCTGCCCAGGGTGACCGTTGGGCGTGGGACGGACCCCGGGCAGAGGGAGGGGCCGGCCGTTCGGCTCCTCGGGGCAACGGACCTTGGCGCCCAGTGACGATGCTTCTTTCCCAGGAACAGATGCTCACGCGAGCCTTCGCCAGAATGCGGCCGGGCTGCCCCTGGTCCCTTGGAAGGAGTCGAGCTTGGATGGGGGCTGGCCGGGCAAGGTCAGTCTCTCTGCCGGGGGGTCCTTTCTGCTGCCAAAGCCCGTGCGGCTTCGGGCGGCGGAAGTCTCGAGCTGACCAGGAGGAGGAGCAGCGAGAGCGGGCAGCAGCCGACGGTCTCTCTCGGCTTCCCCTCTGCAGGAGGAGCACTATGCCATGCACAGCGCCACCTTGCCTAGGAATTACAAGGTCTCGACCCTGGCCGGCGAGAGGCGCCAGGACGGCTCCTTCCGACGGTCCATCCCTGCCAACCCGACGGGCACCCTGCCCCGGAACTGGCAGCCCGTCTCCCGCATCCCCATCCCCCCGCCCAACCCTCAGGCCGGCAGCCTCCCCAGACGCCACAAGCCGCTGCCCCTCTCCATGATCTTCCGGCTGCAGAACGCCTTCTGGGAGTCCGGCGTGGCAGGCGGCAAACTCGGGCTGCCTCAGGGGCCGGTTGGGTCGCCGCTGCTCCGTTCCTTGCAGAAGCAGCTGCTGCAGCAGCCGTTTCCTCAAGCGCAGCCCCACCTGCGAACGATGCCGCCTGGGAGCGAAGGTGAGTGGCGGCCGGCAGGGGGCAGCAGCGGGAAGGAGCCAGAGGCGTGCCTGTCGGTGAATGCCAGCTGCCTGGTCACCGTGGTGGGCCTGCCCAGCGTTGGGGCAAAGGGCCTGAATCTCCCCGCTTTCTCTTTCCCTGGCCAGAGCCCCAAGGATCGGGTCTTCAACCTGTTCATCCAAAGCGCTATCTCTGGATATGCGAATACGCGAATGTTTCTGCCGGAGGCAGCTTGCACCCCCTGCAGAGCCCCCCTCCCACCTCTTGGCTTTTCCCTCTCCAGGAAACGGCACCTCCAGAGCCGCAGCGATGCCAGCTGAACGCGTGATCCCCACTGTGCTGACGGGGGGTGAAGCGGAGCCTGAACTGGAGGGTCTTCTGCCGGGCAGCGAGCCGGCAGAGATGGAGGACTTGGCTCGGCCTCTCAGCCCCACCCGGCTGCAGCCTGTCCTCCCGCCTGAGGCCCAGAAGGTGCCCGAGTTTGAGGAAGTGGCCCGGGTGCTGGCAGAGATGCCTCGGCCCCTGAAGCGGCGGGGATCCATGGAGCAGAACCCCAGTCCGGCTCTGCTGCCCCCCCACAAGAAGCAGTACCAGCAGATTATCAGCCGCCTGTTCCACCACCAGCCCCGCAAGGAGGAGGCTGCTCCGGTGGGGGACCCCCCGCCCCAGCCTGACCCCTCGCCCACCAGTGAGGCCACAGAGCAGAAGGTGGCCCCTGCCACCCCAACCACCAGCCCTGCGCTGACTCCTCCGCCTGCTCCAGAGAGCCCAGCCACTCTCACCCCCTTGCCAAGCCCGGTAAGTGGAGAGCTTGGGGGGCATTTGCCCAGTTCCCTGGAGTCGGCCGGCCTTCACCCCCCATGAGTGACCGGCCGGCAACCAGAGCAGGGACTCCGTTTGGAAGAGGGCCTTGGACCCTGAGGGCGGCTTCTGCTCGCTTGGGATTCAAATGCTGGTTAGGGAGGAGGCCGGAGAAGGGATGTCTCCACCGTCGGCTTGTGAGCCCCCCAGAAACATCTGGCCGGACTGGGAGGGCCTGGGCTGTTCTGATGCTCTACGCGGGTTTAGGAAGGCGCTTCGTCTAGCAGCTAGATGGTCTCTGGCAGCCCCAGCTAAAAGGATCCAGCCTCTGAGCCGAATTGCTCCTTCCTCCGTTTCTGGCTGTGGAGGGGTTCTCCCAGGACTCCACCTTACGAGAAAGCTGTCAGCAGTGGGGAAAGGTGGAGGTGTGCAAGGTGTTAACCCTCCCTGTGCTGGCTCCGCAGGAGAAGCGCTCCGTCCTGCGCAAGGCCTCTTCCCCGCGGAAGCGGCTGACCAAGAAGGCGCGGCTCAATCCCTTGGTGCTGCTGCTGGATGCGGCCCTGACGGGGGAGCTGGACGTGGTGAAGGAGGCGGTGAAGGAGGTGAGCTGCTGGCCGGCAGGCCTCTTGCAGGGGGCGCCTTCTCTTGACGAAACTTGGGCGCTGTTGTTGTGGCGCGTGGTTCTCTGTCCTCTCTTGAACCACGCAGCAGTTTGACCAGGTAGGTTAGGCTGAGGAATCTGACTCTCCCACGGTGTGGAAATGCAGAGCAGTGAATTGGAGTAGAAGGAGCTAAATGAAGATGGGAAGGAAAGGTGGAACCGGGCTGGGTTTCCAGGTTAATCTGTCCTGCGAGCTGGCGTGACCGTTCCGCAATATGTTGAGCCTCGGACGGCTCTCTGCCTTTTCCTGCCGCAGCTGAATGACCCGAGCCAGCCGAATGACGAGGGGATCACCGCCCTGCACAACGCCATCTGCGGCGCCAACTACAGCATTGTGGACTTCCTGATCAACATTGGGGCCAATGTCAATTCTCCAGACAGCCACGGCTGGTGAGCGCCAGGGATGGGATGGGGGGCAGGGACCACGGCCTCTGTGGCGCTTGCTGTCGGTGGGGAGCTGCGTGCTGGTCGCCTGGGCAAGACGTGGACCTTTCCTGAGCCAGCTGCCTCCTTGCCTTCCTTCCTCCGTGTCCTAGGACGCCACTGCACTGTGCGGCTTCTTGCAATGACACCGCCATCTGTGTCGCTCTGGTGAAGCACGGTGCCGCCATCTTCGCCACCACTTTCAGCGACGGGAGCCTGGCCATCGAGAAGTGCGACCCGTATCGAGAGGGCTACAACGAGTGCTTCAGCTACCTTGCAGGTGAGGAGGGCAGAAGGAAGGCAGGAACGCCCTGATGGCCCCTCCGTTCTGTTCGGTGAAAGGAAAGCCAGGCGGGTCCCACCTTTGGGAACGGCCCTGGTTTTTCAGGCTGCCGCCGGCTAGCAGTGCTGGAGCTTCTGGGGTGGTGACGTCCACACGCTTGGCTGCTTTCTTGTTCATTGGCGGGGTGCTCTTCTCTCGTTGCAGAGGTGGAGCAGAACATGGGGCTGATGAACAACGGAGTGGTGTATGCCCTGTGGGACTACAGTGCTGAGTTCAGCGATGAGCTCTCTTTCCGCGAGGGCGAGCCGGTCACTGTGCTACGCCGGGATGGCCAGGAGGAGTTGGACTGGTGGTGGGCCTCTCTCTACGGCCAGGAGGGCTACGTGCCCAAGAATTATTTTGGGGTGAGTCTCACCTTCCGAGGAGCCGAAGGCTCGCCCAGACGAGCCCCAGCACAGGGGCAGCACGGTGGTGAGAGGGTGCCGCAGCACCCAGAGGGACAGAGCAGCAAGCGGCGTCTTGCTTTCCGGCCATGGAGGCCCCAGGCGTCGTGGGGCGTCTGGCTTTGCCTTGTCAGCCCCAGCTCGCTCTGTGGCCTTTTCTTTCCCCTTATGCTTCTCTTCCCTTTCTCAGCTCTTCCCCAGAGTGAGGCCGCAGCAAAGGAAGACGTAGAGATCCACCGGTGGCTGGAGTTGCCACTGCAGCCTGTCGGAAAGGGAAAGCGAGAGCCTACCGGTGGGAAAGGGCAGCGTGTGGGACTTGGATCTGCAAACATGGAGGGGGCGAGGCACAGGGAGAGGGCTCTTTCCCTCCTTCGGGCTGGCAACCCTCAGCTTTCAGAAGAGCATAAACGAAGGAGAGGGGTGGCATTCAACGTTGCCTGTGTCACTCCCCGCCTTGCCTTGCTGTTTTCTTGCTTCTGTATGAATCCCACCCCCAGCCTCAAGGATAGTCTTGGTGTTGGTGTACTAGCCTCTTCCAGCACAGCTAACGTGGTGATGCGGCCCCTTCCCCATACAAAAGTTGAACTGGGAATTGGCGCTGTGCCTCTGGGGCTCGGCAAGCGGTCAGTTCTCCCCTGCTCCAGTTCTGCCGCCTTTCCTCTGGAGCTGCAGGCACGATTTGCCTTTGGTGGGAACTCCTGCCTGCTGGGCGTCATCCTTGGGGTGACAGCTGTGCTGCCCCCTCACTCTGCTCCCCATGGCTGGTTGGGCTTTAAACATCTTTTTTTTCTGTCACCAACACGGTGAAGGAAGAACAAAGATGGGGCACCAAAGGGCTCCTTCTGCATCCTCTCACTGGGCAGCTGGAGAAAGGGTGGGCTGCTCTGGTGGGAGGACAGTGCAGAAGGATGGCTATCTGGTGGCCGCGTGCCATAGCCACCCAGGAGCTGGACTGCTAGGTCGTGGGCTGTGTAGACTTGATGGGGCAGAGCGCTTTCAGAAATTCTCCCTGCGTCCCTGACACATAGGCTTAACGAGCACGCCACCATTATCTAGATGTGAAACTTTCCATTGTTGACTCCGTTCCCAGCTGAAGATTTACGATGGGAGAAGGGAGCGTCCTTTGGCTGCCTGATCTGAGTAAATCAAAGCGTCCCCCTCCTGCCTCCTGCCAGGGTAGCCCCGAGCCCCTCTGCCCTGGGGAGAGCCGCCCCAGAGGCCCCCCAGATGGGCAGCTGCGGGGCCTTCTGCCCACAGGCTTATGTTCCAGCTGGAGCAGAGTGCTGTGCGTTGCGCTGGCGCTCGTTGCATCTATGTTGCTGCTGGAACAAGATCAGGGAGGGATGGAGAACGTTGCCCCCTGCCCAGTGCCTTCTTTTCGCCCACCGGGGCAGAAGCTGAGCTTGCGTGCCAAAGCTTGACCTGTCTGCCTGCACCCCGTGAGAGTGTCTCCCACACCTGGCCGAGGAGCCCCTTCCTTTCACGCTGTGCCTTAAGCGGGGCCGGGATGCCAAGACGCGTTCCGATGCTGCTGGGGTCCTTTGGTTGGAGCTGGGAAGGGCGATTTTTGTGCCTTTAAATGGGTGGGGCCTTTCAGGGCTAGCTTTGTGCAGGTTGGACGCCCGCGGTCTGTAGGTCCCGCACAAACATCTGGAGGCCGCTTCAATTCGGGCTTTGCCAGACTCAACTCCAGGGAGGGAAGAGGGGATGCTGGGGATCCAGGTGAGCCCTTCCTGGGACCGGGTGGTAGTATGGCTGGAAAATGTAGCATTCAGTAATAAAATGGTCTAACTGGACAAAAGTGCTGGCTGTGTTCAGTGTAAGGCGGGGGTGGGAATGCCTCCGCTGAAGATGGAAACATCTGGTCGTGGGGTGGACTTCCACGGCAACCCCCCACGTGATGATCCTGGGGAAGATTTCAGAGGTGGTGTTTTGAGCTGGCAGCGTCTGTCTGGGTTGATCCAGCAAGCGACCTCTCTGTACTTGGCCAGAATAAAACTAATGCGAAAGGCTGAATCATTGCTGGTTGTCCCAAGGCTCTGTGCTGACGCTCCATCCTCCATTGTTCCCCACTGTTGCAAGAATATGGGGCTGCTGATTCTGGTTGCCTGCTTCTGTTGCGGGTTGCCTGCGTTTCACAAGTTACAGCCCCAGATGCTGGGGCAGAATTCTGTGGCTGAGTTCCCACAAACCACTTAAGCTGGAGTTACTGAGTCAGAGACCTTGGGTAAGTCCACATATGGCCCTAAGTCACAAAACAGCAAATCTCATTCTGGTTTCGCATGTGTGAATCCGGAGCAAGAGGTTCCCCAAAATATGGAACTCTGTCCTCAGGTCCCGGTAAACCTTGAACTGTAGGTTTCCAATGTGCTTTCCATGGTCTTCCGAGGTCATGCCGTTTGGCTCTTGTCCTGGTCAAAATAATTGCTTGGGTGTGACAGGAGTAGGTGAAGCACCGCGGCTTTGACTGTAATTGCGCTAATTGTGGAACGAGGCAGTCTGGTGGGGTGAAGCTACTTCCTTGTGATTCGAAAAGGCATTGTGCTAATTCGACCATCTTTTGTATCACTTTGATTCAAAATGGCCCTGCACCAAAAATCTGCTGGTTTTCTCTGAGGCAGCCGGACGCCGCGCCTGCCTGTAGCGCCATTATAGCAGCCTCGGCCCTTGCAGAAAGCGAAATGCCTCCGCTGGGAGTGCGGGCGGGACCTGCTGGAGCGCAGGTTGGGGCCTCAACGAGGTCCCTTCGTGTTGCTCTAGCCGCCCAGTCGGTCTGGGATTCAAACCCAGGAATGTGGGTCAGTTGATCAGCAATGCTTGAGTTAACCAAGGGTTGGAGCAGTGTTCCTCAACCTTGGCCACTTTAAGGTGGGTGGGCTTCAACTCCCAGAATTCTGG